TACTGAGGTCTTACATCATGGGACCTCCTGCCCCCACACGTACATCACGCACTGCACGGTAGGTTCCCAGCCCTGGGGCCACGCCCAGCCTCACGGCGGTTCACTTTCCAGAAAACCTGTCTGTTTCACTTGTTCTCGTTTCCTCTCAATGTTCCTTCCCCGGTAAACTTCTACTCTTTCTCCATGGCGCAGCACACAAATCGCCACCTCTATCATTTCTCAAAACACTTCTCCAGATGGCTGTATTCCACAATGTACTATACTGCATGGAACTGTTTCATCTTTCCCATCAGATTAGCGGATGGGCAAGTCCATTGGCCTCTGGAGGCCCCTCTTGTGTTTGTCTCCTGGGAGGTGTCTGAGATGAAGAGGGAGCCAGTCCCAGAGAGCTGCGAATGAGTAGGTGAACTGGGTCTGCGTGGTGACGCTGATACTGTTACTAATGCTGACCAACAAATGTGATCAGCTGAAGCCCCACAGTTGAAATTCTTCTCACAGGCTCAAGGGCTGAAAACATTTGGCCAGTGACTTGCCCATGAAATTAAAAGAGAAATGCAGTGGATTTCGGTATGAAATGCAAGAAAGGTTCAACAAGGGGGTACAAAACCTCAGGAAGACACACTTTCTTTAATAATGAAATAATTTATTATTTGTTAACAGTTGAACAATACAGAAGTTTACATATACACAGCAAAGATTCTCTAAAACATGTAATTTCTAAAAATGCATGTGCTAACTGTAGTAAAAGCACCATTCTCTATGGTTTTGACACAGGATTTACAATGGCATACTATTTACATAAAGAAACAGCTGGAAACAGAATTTCATACTCTCGTCTGCTGCTCCCGTTTTCGGCTGTGTTTACCATTTAGGAGGATGCCCACCCTCACCAAATCCACCAAATGCCCCCAAATCCACGGTTAACAGCAATGTTCAAAGAGCACCAATTCCAGAGACAAGGGGTAAAAGGCAAGTTTGGTTCTCAGGAAAAAGCTAAGAGGAAGAATTCCCCCCAGCCCCCAGCAAAATAAAAAATCAAAATTCTAAAGTATAGTTAAATCTTAGAATTGGGTATGCCTTATTAATTCTCATTTTATGATTTTCAGAAGACAAAGACACTAGATTTCTCCAGCCATGCAATAGCTGAATCGAGCAGTGCTGGTCAGCTCTTTTTTTCTTTCAGAAGAATATAGTATTAAGAAAATCATCCATGTAATAAATACTGATAATGAAAAAACCATGATAAGTCACGTATCGTACCTTCCCTGGTATCTTTTGAAAACAAAATATCCTACAGTCTACAGAGATCTGATCACGTAGAATGAAAAGGAAAAAAAAAATTACCTCATCTAAAATGGTCTTTGGGTCTTCTTCCAGGAAGGATTTTTAAATCAGGAGTAGCCAGCTACCTAAACATGCTGCATCAGGGTTAGATGTAGAAAAAGAATAGACTGACATGCAGGAAATTGCCTTTTAGCCTTTTATGGCCTGATGTTCAACACACAGGGAGGGTAAAGAGGGAAGACACAGAAACTTGGGGAAGTAAAAATAAAAAGACAAGACTCAGATTCAGGGGAATAAATATATTAGAAAGCACAATACAAGTAGAATTCTTGCCAATATAGTATAGTATAAAAACCAAAATAATGTATATATAGGAGAGGCAAGAATAAAAAATTTTTTAAAAAAGCCCACAAAATCCATTATCAAGCCCCAAGATATTGCTAGATGGGTTATTTTGAGCATCATCACAATTCAACCTAGTTTATATAACCTAGGATTAGCTCTTGGCCACTTCAGGGATAGGGAAAAGAGGCCCATAGAAAACCCAGGTTAAGATCCTTTGTCTCATTTGAAAAAAGTGGAGGTGAAAAGAAAATGCCCACCTTTAAAAAATATCACCACTCATGTGTTCAATTGCAAGACCAAGGCCTACTTAATGCTTAGTTCTGAATTGACACTGAGAGGGTTTTGGTTTTGGATGATAGCAGAGAGAATCTGAGTCCTACTCAAAAATGTCATGCTCTTTGAATGACTAAATTAGCATTAGATCTGTGACTAGAGAAAGGAGCCAACAGTAGCTATCAGCACCTTGAAGAATCAAGATCTCTGCTCAGCAAAAGAACACCAACACCTGGGTGCTAGTCCACCACTCAAAGCCAACACCCGAGGGAAGGCTCCATTGTCTGGGATGTGAAATGAGCATACACCTATACATCTTTTCATGGCAGGAAATTAGACTTACAGACTCTCTTTTCCCATTTGCATTGCAATGGTACCCACAGGAGTGCAGGTTCAGAGTTCTTTTTAGTTATTTTAAAATCAACTTTCACATAAAAATATGAATGTGCCTGTATTTATACACATCTACATTTACGTACAATTGTCAAAGTCTTAAAGGCTGGGGTTTATATCTGTGCCCGTCCCCTCCCCCCAACAACCCTCATAGAAAGGTTTATTCAGTTTGCTTAAAAACAAGAACAACCAACAAAACTCTATAGCTTTTAACAGTCACGCTGGTGAATCAGTGAATGAGAGAGGACAGATTGGCAAATCAGGGCTGCTGATCAGCCTCTTGGGGAAGGGGATTAGCTGCCTGGGGCTGAGTTTGCTGGTCCTGAAGTTTACAGTTTTAGAGAGAAGCCGGTCTCACGTGCTGATGTGGGCTACCTCGAGCTTTGAAGGTAATTGTCTAACCCTGGTGTCAGTTTATCACAAGTGCATTAAAAATATAGAGATCTCTTAAATTCCACATGTATAGGCAATCAAATTGAAAAGGACCAGACAAACAGTGCAAAGGTCAAATAATTACTGTTTTATATTGGGACAGTACATTTCATATTTCAACCAAAAGACAAAAATGCAGTTTAACTCAAAGGCACAACAATTAAAACACAGAAAATAGTGGCATCTCGCAGATGCCGTATTTTTAAATGAAACAAACAGGGCCACAATTTTTGTTCCCTTCCCTCCCCCAAAGCAAGCCCACAAGCTTTTCCCAAAGTCTTGAGTTCTTGATGCCATACAACAGCACCCTTCCTCATGGACTTGTGAGGCGCTTGAATGTAGCAGTTAAACAAAAACGCTTTAGAGGTCCAGCGAATGGCATTTGAAAGGGACCTCAAAGTGCAGATATACCTTTTTCAAACATGTTACAGGCTGAGCTGGCTCTTTGAACACTATCACGCTGCTTAAATTCAGGAAGCAGGCTTTAAAAATGCAAAAGGCATACATGTATTTCAGTGCAAATCTTCAGCTGGTATTGGAAAAGATTCCAGCAATTTAAAAAAAAATCTTTTTTTTTTTTTTTGTCACCTGCCCCTCCCCCACCCCCCTTCCCACCCCCAGCAAAAAGCTGAAATGAAAGAAAAACAATAAAACAAAATTAAACCCAGAAGAATCCTAAATGATTTTGGAATCATTTAGGAATCCACAACTTCCAATTTAAAACATCTTTAAGAATTTTTATAAAAACAAAAAGTAATCTGGTTTTGTTTGAGATTGCTCTTCATTTATAGACCGAGCTTGGGCCTAGAGTGCGTTTGAGCTCCTGCCTTAAATGTGTGGAAGATTGGGGAGCGCTGGATGAGGCTGGGGTGTGTGAGAGCGAGGGCCAGCAGGGGAGCCTGCTGAGGCTGCCCACTACTGAATCAGCTGTCGAGCCCTTAGATTGCAGTGAGACTGTGGATGTTAGGAATGTTCTAACCACTCTGTGACACACACTCGGTTTCAGCATCACATATTTTTACAAATGGTCCAAATTCAATGAGAGAGATTGGCCAGAGGCTGAAAATATCCAGACCTCAAAGGTATGAATGCAAAAAATATTAAGTGGGGAATGAATCAGTTTTGTAGATACCTACGTACAAAGTTTCTAGAACATCTATAAAAGCACAAAGGCATAAGAATTTATTTTCCATTACATTAGTTTATATAAAATGAATAAATAGTATTTATAGATTTCATGTGTCTTATGTACATATACATGTGCTCTGTTTTAGCTTAAATAAAAATGCTACAAAGTGGGAGACCACTCAAGGGAGAAATCATAACCAAAAAAAAAAAAAAAAAAAATCAGCTTTTTAAACTACCAACCCAAAAGTCTCCCAAGAGAAGTTTCTGGGTATGTCTAAAAATAATCAATGAGGAGAGGAATTCTGGCAACACAGTACCGTCCCCTCCTGTTCACTTGCAACATAGAGAGTAGAAACGTGGGCTTTTCCTTTTACTGATAACAAACACTAGCTCAGCTAGTGCCAAAGCTCAGTTATTGCTGAAAGTTCAATAGGAAAACAGATTAGAATTGGACCAAGTGTCACTTATTTGGGTGGGGGAAAAAAAAAAAAGGCATAATCACTTTAAGTGGGAAATGGAGATCTCATTTATCTCTGAGGTAGGAAAAAAAAAAAAATGTTCCAGAGACAAGTAGCATCAACAAACTTTAAGGGGAAAATGTATCTTGGGAGAGTAAGGTCCCAAGAACAATGCACAAAGATAGATTGTACCGTTTTGTTCGTTAGAACAAACAGCATTGGAACTTGTACAAGCTGTGCAATCCTAAAGACATGCTACCAAGATGTCCATTGAAAGTGAGAAATACTGTTTCCCTCCACACACAGGTCTGGGGACAGAGCCTGGGGCAGGTGAGAAGGGTCTGTTTTCTGGAGGTATTACTGACTTCCTCACTAGGGTGAGGGTCATGGTTAAGTGCTCTTAAATGCTGCTTTCAAAGCTGACTTTGGAGTTCAGAGATCAGGATCTCAACTTTGTTTGTTTCCTTCAAGTTTCCTAAACACAAGACACACTCGGACATTTCTGCTAGGCCAGTTAACACAGTAAGCCAGAAAACTTTACGAAAGGTCTGGTGGACTATGTAAGGGCAGGAAAGAAGAGGGGCAATGGCTGAGATGTGAACGTTGGTTATTCAGTCTAAGAACTCTTTGATGCTTCAAACTGATTGGAATGTACAGTCTCTCAGAGACAAATTTTTATGTAGAGAAGGTGAAGCTAGTGGATGCATTCAGAAACCCACAATCCTAAGCACTTCCTTCAGAATTTCGACAAAGCTGATTGTGGTAAAGGTGGTACACGGAAATTTACGTGCAAGGGGATTGTAGGAAGAAGGTCCAGTACACTACCTAATAAGATCCGACAGGGAGAACCATCAGGGAGGCCGCCAAAGCAACCAGCGTCTCTTAGAGACCGAGACACGTCTTGTGATTGTCCTGGAGTTTTATTCTCTTGATGCTGGAGCTGGCATAGCCCTCGTCGCTGCCCAAGCTCTGCATGCTGCCCCGCTCATCAGAATCACTCACGCTGCTGCTGCTCCAGTCCAGATCCCCAGTGAGATAGTCTGTGCTTTCAACGTCAACATCAATTTCTTCTGTGGGGAGGGCAAGAGAGAGAGAGAGAGAGAGAGAGAGAGAAATTGGTGAAGGCATTCTTAGGTTGCTCCCAGCTACAACTGACCAGAAAACTCCAGCTGAAACTCAAGCCAACCCCAAGTCAACTCTTCTTTGGATGCTATTATCTTGAACATAGAAAAGAGGGGCTTGTTCTTAGAGATCCCACTACTCACATTTTCTAAATCAAAGGCAATGACTTATTTCCTTGTATGCCCTGCCTCCTGTGTGACGCACTGGCAGATGGGAGATGGAAGAGGGCGGGCAGGGTAAGCGAGGCTGGCCTGGGATGCAGGGAGAGGACTCACCCCTGTCGGAGTCCGAGCGCTCCGAGGAGACTGTGGAGCCGATGCTGTCCATCCGTATCCTCTCAAAGCCCAGCTTCTCCAGCTGCCTCTTCAGGTGCCGCTGTTCCCGCTGAAGCTGGTCTATCTGGTGAATGGCTTTCCTGTCACAGTCTTCAAGTTTCTGCAAGTCAAAGGGGTCATTGTGGATGCTCACAGGTGGACTCCTAAATGGGCAATAACCCTGCATCTTCCTGTCTAGCAATGATGTCTGCCAGGTTTCTTCAAGAGCCTCTGGGTGTATCACTCCTCAAACTCCTCTCAGACACAGGAAGTTTGCTGGCCTGTGACAGCTGGCTTAACTTCTTCAGCATTAAACACAATGGGACTTGTTTCATCACAGGGTTCTGGGGTAAACTCTGATGCTCTGGCATCTGGAACCCCTCAATGTTGATATCAAAGAGGCAGGAACCCTGGACCTGGCCACCCTTCTCTTCAGTGACACCCTGTGCACCTAAATCACTGAGCAAGACAACTCTCGTGACGGGAGCTTTAGAAAGATACTTCCATTTAAAACGACATTGTTCACGTGCAATGTGCCAATGACATCGGCCCTTTTTGGTGTCAATGCAAATCTCAATGAACTTCTGTTAGCCAAAAAAAGGAAGTTCCCAGGTTTTTGGGTTTTTTTCTGAAGTTGTGCTTCCAAAGTGTCCAACCCAAGAGATTTGAAAGCACATTTCCATAGAGCACTTGTTTTCACAAATGTCTCTCAGGCTTCCCATGTTCTTCAGATAACATTAGGAAGATTGCATTTGTTCTACTTTAAATAGAGGTTCTTTTCCCCTAGAATTGTCATATACTTAGCCTACTAAACATAATTAAACCAACTGACATTTCAAACCCACCAGATGTTCCTCAGAAATCCTATACAGGGTCGCTATAAGTTGAAACCAACTCCATGGCATTTAACATCATCAACAATAAGGTACAAATATGCCAACATTCTGAAAATGGGTTTGGGCTGCAAGCTCTCGGGAACGCAAATACAATCCACCTTACTCTTTGCTACTCAAGCTACATACTGTGGTTCAAGTCTGTATCAGATACCCTGTGAGGTGCTGAGGCTAGAAGCTGAGCACAAAGACCCAGGTTCCTTCCTGGTGGACTCAATAGTCTAACACTGGAGACAACAAATAGTCAGCAAACCACGTTCAGGTTTCCACTGGGACTAGGGCTAAGAGGGAGCTCCCCAATGTTAGGAGAAGGAAGGAAGAGGAGGCTTCCCTGAGTAACTGCTCCTGGCACCAGGATCTAAATGGTGAGAACCCGTTAGCCAAGTGAAGCAGGAGGGAACAGCACGTACAAAGGTCCCTGGGGTAAGAGAGAGCATGCCAAATGTAAGCAACTGAAACGAGGGCAGAGTAAGGGAAGGACCTGGTCCACGATGACAAGGAGGCGAGGGTGGGACCAGGCAAAGGATTGGAAGCAGGAAGACGTGCTGATTTGAGATGGGAAGGAGTGTTCTGGGGAAGCATGGAGAAACTATCAGACGGGGGCCAGAAGGACACAGGGTGATCTCTTAGGAGTGCTGCAGTTGATGGTGGTGAGGTTCAGATGGAAGGAGACAAGTCCATGAAACACTTGGGTCTTGGAGATGGCTTAGATATGAAAGGTGATGGAGCAAGAGCTGTCAGAGATGATTCCTGAGATGTGGCTTGTGCATCTGGATGGAGAGTTGGATGGGACCAGTTCACTCTGATGCAGGAGGGTAAGAAAGAACCAGTGGGCTTTTGGACATGCTGATTTAGAGGTGCCTGTGGGCTAGTCTGTCAGTGGTTCAAACACACCAGCTGCTCCGAGTGAAAGCTGAGGCTATCGGCTCCCGCCAAGACTCACAATCTCAGAAATTCCCTATAGGATCAGTGTGGGTCTCAATCAACTCGATGGCAGTGGGTTTGGTGTTTGGGTTTGTGACTCATCCAAAAGGCACCTTGGAAGAACTCAGAGGAAAGTCTGTCCTAGAAATACAGTAAGTCCCCAGGTTACAAAAGTCTGACTCACAGACAATACTCATATGTGCCCTTTAGTACTATGTAAAGTGTCCTTACTGTCAAACAATTGAACCAACTTCCACTTGCATCAAATTTTTATCACAATCACCTTCACTTGCTGCAGCGTTTAAATTACTGAAAAGACTCAGCCTTTTCTTGCACTGAAGTAAGACTAAATAAGAACCACATACACCTGTTTTGACTCACCTATGAGTTTTGACTTAAAGACAAACTTGGGAGTGGATCATATAACCCAGAGTTTGCCTGTGTACATATGCTGTCCTTCCTGACAACGGACAAACCTTCCTAGATAGGTAAAAGTAGAAAGACAGCCCCAGGATGTACTTACCTTTATGTGCAATTTGGCTTTTGTTAATAAACTCAATGTAGTATGTCGATTTGACTCAGGCCCAAGTGGTACCAGTCCCTTTAACTTCTCCAGGCACAAGCGAAGGTGGGCCCGTCTACAAAAACAAAATCAATAGAGTTGAATTCCACAGTGGGCTGGGAGGCACCCCAGAAAGAACAAGTTCTAAAAGACTATGAAGTTGCTCAAGCCCAGTGATGGCAGATGTCACCCAAGACCTCTTGCCAAATAAACATCTTTTGAAACCAGGCAACTCTGGGATAAGCCAATTAGAACCTAAAATCCAAGGTTTTCTTGTTATGTCTATTTTTAATACAGGTGTCTAATATAAGAACCAGTATCTACCATTATAGGCACATTATCAGGTTTTCTTCAGGTCTCTTCTGGGTTACAATGTGGCCCAGATCTTCCAAATCCAGGAAACAGGACATACCAGGGTGAGAATCCTTTTACTTATTTGCTTTCTAGTTTTAAAACTTTTCACTGTGAATTGAGTGAAGGTTTACAGACAAGGTCATCAATTTTACATTCAACGAATCACACACCTTGTTTCATCTCAGTGACTGTAATCCCCCTCCCTGCAACAACAGTTGCCCTGCTTCCTCCCTGTGGTTACCCATGTACAAATATCCTCTTTCTAAGTCTCATATATTTGTGGAATATGTAAATATATATGTTCCACTCCCTCCCTTACCCATTAAGCCTGTGTCTCTCTGCCCAAGTATCTGCGCACAGAACACTGTTGCTCCAAGGTTGTGTACAGATGGCTATTTACACCTTTATCCCCTTGAGCCCTTGCAGACCTCTGTGTGTCTTCACCTGTCTTCATTATTCCTATGCCTCCCTTCCCCTTGTATACTGCCCTCCCTGTCACCTGAATTAACATGTGTCTACCATCTAGCCAGTGACTTATAGGCGAGAATCCTTTTACTACATCTCTTTCCACACCCATGCCTCTTAAATCACTATAACTATTACCATTGTTGTATATAGTATTTGCACATGGGAATGACATCAGCGTATGGTTATTTGTTACAGGGTTATCTGTCATAGCAAAGACTGAAACAGCCCAAATGACTTCATCAGAAGGAATCTGGTTAAATAAATTCTGGTACATCCCTACTATGGAGTACTATGCAGCTATGAAAAGAGAATGTGAATTGAGGGCATAGCAATTGCTGAGATGAAACAATGCGTATGACTTGTTTAGTGATCTACTCTGTAAATCTTTACTCAATTCACACAAAAAAGTGTTAAAAAAAAAAAAAAAGAAAAAAAGAATGTAAACATGCTCTGTGTATCGATAAGAAAGATCTAGATATACTGATAAGTGAAGGAAACAGGAGAGCAAACAATGTGTACTTCATGCAATTGTGTATATAAACATGGAGGGAAAAGAAGATTTTCTATTCATGCTTCTTGTGTATACATACAGAAAGTCTGAAATGAGGCATCAGAAACTAGTAACAGTGGTTGGACAGGGAGAAGGCAAGAATAGTTAGAAATGAACAACAAAAAAGGAATTTTCACTGAAAAGTCTCTTACACATTTTGGTTTTCAACTAAATCAAATCTATGACTATTCAGAAAGTTAAATACTTTAAAAAAGGAAAAGGAAAAAGTATTATCATGGGCATTGCTACACTAACAAGTGTGCTGAATAGCTGGAGCTGACTACATCTGGGACATGGAGCCTGGAACAGCACGGAACAGAGCAAGAGAGGGAGAAAGGCTGTGAGGATGGAGTCATATGACTCACAGTAAAGGGAGCATTTAGTGACAAACCTGACCAGAAACACAAGACTTCCTACATTTTTAGAAATGGATTAACACTTCACTGAAACCTTAGTTTGGACCTTATGAAACTAAGTTAGAACCTAGCCCTAGCAGATTCCAGGTATATGACAAATGGCCACAGTTCCGGGTTCTTGATGAAGCCAACCACCACCTTAAAGCCTTCCCAGGCCACTCCAGCCCACGGTTGATTCCTTCATTTTCAGAGAAGTGGTGAGTGTATGTCATTCTTTGGGAAGTTCACTATGGTACCAGAATGATTTGGTATTTGTTACCTAATCATTTGTTGCAGACTCCTTAGAAAGCAGGGCTGCAGTCTAGTCATTGCTATGTTCTCACAGTGCTTCGCACGCACGCACACACACACACACACACACACACACACGCTTAATAAATGTTTTCTGAATGGATTATGTCACCTACTCGACGACTTTAAGCTCAGAAAGGACAGAGTCCACCTCTGCTACATCTCTGCATCTTCAGCAGTGCTAAGGGTCTTGAGGGTTTCAACAAATGTCCACTGCCTACACAACTCCCCAAAGCAGAACTGTCTGGAAGCCAGGGGGCTACCCTGAACTGTGAGCCAGCTGCAGTGCCTTCAGCTCTACTCTGCCCTTTTGTCCTCTCACTTTACTGTCTTAGTAAAAGTTGGAAAGACAGACCGGAAGAAAAAGAAAGCTGCTCAGAAAGCTACAGGACAGTCAATATGCATGATGCTGACCTAGGAGGTCAACTCACACCCTCCCTCAGGACCTGCCCTAGGCAGGTCTAGTTAGTGACCTACTAGACATCCTGAGCCCCCTTCCTCTCTTGACTCTTGAAGGAGTTACCCTACATTCACCAAGGGCCCTCTAAGCCTTGACAAGCTGGAAGAGTATAGCATTCATTTCTGAGCTAGGAAGCTTTCATACTATAAACACCATACTCTTTTATAAGACTATTATTTTATGGACTAGCCACAAGCAAAGACTGGCGTTAGAGGTTTGCTCTCCTCACTACTGCACGACAAAAAGACCACAACGTGTGTATACAGTGTACTTGTTTAGCTCGAATACTAACCTCCTTCAAAAAGAGCCTAAGAACTAGCCTGTGCCATTAGAAAGGCTGGAAAAAGTGTACCTAGTCACTTAAACAGCTCTCTAACTTATTTCTCACTACAAAGTTTATAGCTTTAATTTCTAAGTTAGGAAAAACAAAAGCCCAAACATTTAAATTAGATTTAAACATATTCACCCTGCTTGATATTTGCAAAGACTACATGATTCAGAACAATGTCATACTACTCTGGGTTTATATACAGATATGAGTATGTAAATTTTTTAGGAAGTTTGTCTACTGATAAAGACATATTAAAGTCGTCTTTCCATGCTTCGTCATTTCTTATCACACAAGGAGTCCAGTCCAGAAAGTACAATTTTCACTACCCAAATGTGGGTTTCCAGAGAACACCCTCAGTTGTAAAACTAGAAATAGACCCTTTGACTAATTCAAGCTGAGGGAATATGTGTCCATTCAGTGTTTTGTCTTTGGTGTGCCTGCCTGGCTTCCCCCAGGGCCTCACTGCGCCAGCCTGCTGGCTGCCCTGCCTGCCTGCCAACTGCCTGCAGACACATCCCCACGCCTGTGCTTGGGACAACCACAATGGAAGGATGAAATATATTACGTAGGTTCAGTTCCACTGCATTATAGTGAAATTCATCTCTGAACCAGATAAAGAAGCAGAGACCTCTCTGTAAGGTCTTTATGGCTAC